AAAAAAAAAAAACATTCAGCCAATAAGTTCATATCTTGTGGTGACTGGAAAAGGAGCTGGTTCAAAAACCTCCTGATTAAGTCGCACTCTGGGGGCACAGCACCGTTAACTAGCGACACAAGCCTAGCTCCAGCATGTTTGGTCAGCTGGTTTTACTGCTGTACAATGATTGCTGGAGAAGCTAGAAACCTCCTGCTGCAGGACGCATCTCTTCTGCTTCTCAGAGATGAATGGTTGTCTATTTGTGCATTACATTATTTTGCACAAAATAATTCTAAGATAACGAGATTTCTGTTTCGATTTAGGCAACTGTGTTTGTTTTCCAGTCAGTTTGGTTCCTGTGTCGTCTTGTCAACCCCTTAGTTAATCCCAGCTGTGTCCTGTTTCCTTGATTACTCCCTTGTGTATTTAATCCCACCTGTGTCTGTATTTCGTCGTTGGATCCGACAAGCGTCAAGTTTATCTTCACTACTAGAGCCACCAGTTTTCAGTTCCTTGCTTTCTAGTTCACCTGTGCTGCTTGGATTCTCTGTTGGTCTGTAAGAGCTTTAGTTGAATCATCCTTTTTCAACCTGGGTCCTCTGCAGCCATCCTCACCACCAATTACCGCATTTCATTACAATTTCAGTATCCTCAGCTTTGAGCTCCTTTCAGAATGAGCTGTATTTTTCGGTGTCTCGCCACTTTAAATCCAAATAAGTTGTAGCTGCCGCGATGCCCAACTCAGCATCGTGACAATGGCTGCAGATCGATGCGCAATAATGCCACCGTACATCTGTGAAAGGCAAAGGTGGAGAATTCTGCAGAAGAATGTAGCTGGTGACTTTTGGATGTAAGTCAACCATATTTTCTAGCAGCTTTAAATCCAGCTGACCAAATGTGCTGGAGCTGCACTTGGGTTGCTAGGTGACGGGCTGGGCTTGGCTGGGATTGACTAGCAACTCGGGTTGCTAGGTGAGGGGCAGAGCGTGCTGATTTGCTACGTTACATTCTGAATGTTTTTTTAATTTTCCCAACATTTAAAAACATTCATTTATTCCCAAAAAGGTTTAGTTGCTTGTTTTTGGTTGTTTTTCTTAAAGCTCTTGGTCTTTTGGTGGAAGCATTGAGACCCAACTGGAAGCACAAAGCCACTCAAAGTGGGAATTTTTGAGGACCAAGTCCCGTGTCTAAGCCAGGAAAAGTGCAAATGTTTCAGTCGGCGGGTCAGTTCAGTTTGTTTCACTTTCAGCGTCTGCAGAGCCTTTTTCTGAAGGCTCAGCTTGTAAAGCCCTCATTCATTCTCTTCCCACCTTTCCTTTCCTGTTTTACTCTCTTTTCCATCTGCCTCTCTTCCCTCCCCCTCCGGGTCACAGAACATGTTGTTCTCTCTCAGACTGAAGAGCTGCTGGCTCGCTCTGCCTTTTCATGCCTTATTTTTACCCCGTTTAAGTTTTTCCCCTCCTCTCTCTCTCTGTTGTCCTGAACCTCAGATTCATCCCAATGACATCCCGTCCTTACGTAAGCGTCAGCCGGCCGATGACGAGGCAGCTTTCCGTGTGCGAACCCAATTAGCAGAGAGATTATTTGGACGTTTTATATTACCAGAATAAAGTTGTAATAATACAAAAATAAATTTGCATGACAAAAAGTAATGAGTGTAAAATTGTAATACGAGAAAATATTCGCAATATTATGAAAGTTAAGTTGTAATAACATAAGTATAAATTTGTTGTAATAAGAGAATAAAGTCGTTTGAAGCAGCTGGTAGCGGTTTGTGTTATAGCTGAGCTGCGTAAATAATGGTTTTAATTCATTTTTGGATTATTGTAAACATTTAATAGAACTCAGGATTGTCCTTAAAGTTCTGGATATGTACAGAAATATTTCAGTTAATTATCGGATTTTCAGATTCTGTATCAGATGTAGATTTCCTCTTTCTTCTTCACTTCCTTACTTCCTTTCCTTACCTTCTAATCTGTGCTTCTGTTCTTCCTGTTTTCTTTTGGCTTTCTTTCCTCTCTTCCTTCCTGTATCCTTTCATCCTTTGCTCTTTCCTGTCCCATGTGTTCATTTCTTCTTTTTTCATTCCTTCTTCCTTCCCTCCTCCTTTCCTTGCTTCCTCCCAACCAACCAACAGATTCAGTTGTGAATTTCATTCCAGAGTTGGAAAATACATTTTAAAATGGAAAGTTGTCCGTCAGTCCAATAATGTCGCTTTCTTTTCTCTGTTCATCTCAACGTCGGCAGCTCCACTCAGGAAGGGATGAAATCAAAAATAAATGCTAAAAAAAGAGAGACATCGTTTTTTTTTTGTTTTTTTTTAAACTCCATCTTTGCACATTTCAGGACAACACACACACACACACACACACACACACACACACACACACACACACACACACACACACACACACACACACACCGACGTCCCGGCGCGATATGCCGTGTTGTTTCTGATCCTAATCAGCCAATCGGATCGCTTCTCATTCCCCTGTGAACGCCACTGGGAGTGAACAGCTGTCGCATCAACAGCTGCTGCTCTCCAACTAGATTAGTTTGACGTTTCATTTAAATGCTTAAAATTCTTGAAAATTAAATTTTTTCAAGGTTTGGAAAGTGCTTGATATTCTAACTGAATAAAATTCAGTGCAACATTTGATTAAAAGCCTAAAGTTGGAAAACTTTTTCAGTAGAAACCAGATTATTTCCACAACTACGATTATTTTTGTTACCATTTATCTTGATAATTAATCGGTTAATCATCAGTATTTTTTATTTTTGCCTTTTTTATGCCATGTTAGAAATACACCTGCTGACTATTTTTGACTAAACTAATTAATAGTGGTTTAGTAAAAGGTTCCTAAAAGTAGATTTGAACCATTTGAGGAGTTTTGGCAAAAACATATTTATAGACAAAAGTTTTGTTTTTTTTGTTATCTTATCTTAAATGCAAAATTTATTTTTTGCAGTTTTGGTTTAATTCCTGTTGTGATTGTTTTCTTTCAGCAAACTGCAGTTTTTTTGACTCTCTATACTCCAGTTAACTATTAATCGATTACTTAATTAGTTGATGATTATTTAATTAATTGATTAATCATAATTGTTATTGTTAATCTGTTGGGGTTTTTTTCTTGCTGTCTAGAAGTTACATCAGATTAAACTTTTCTTGCTTTAGGTTTGTTAAATTCACAAAATAATTTATTTTTACTAAATGCCAGAAAACAGCATGAACATTTTTTAGATTTTATTTCTTTGTATTTTAGCATTTAATTTGAGGAGTAGAAACAATTCATTTGGGTTGTTTCAATGTAATAAGCATTAAATTGAAACATGTAATACATGTAATGTAATATTTATTCCTAATTTCTCAATGACTTATTGATCTGTTATTGAGATAAATGTTGGTTTATATTTGTTTACATTAAACAACATATATCATATATATGTCTTGTGTTAAATTAGTGTTTTGTTCTCAAATCAGAATTTTTGAAAACATAAAATGTTGTTTTTACTTCATTCTTACGGTTGAATGTTGAATAAACACAAAACATTAAATAATTAATAAATAGTATCATGTAATTGTGAGTTTAGTTCATTTGTGTTGTTTTTGCTGGGAACTTACTTTATAAATGCTTTAAAAATTCTTGAATTTTACTGTGGATAAAATACAAAGCCTGTAATTTGCAGACAATTTACAAATACAGTTTTTCTTGTTCTGGATTAGGATGAAATTGAGAAAATAGACTCTGAACTAGACGTGGGTCAGGAGGAGATTAGATGGTAATTCACCAATTTTAATAACGAGGAGCAAAATCACATTGCGAATAAAAAAAGTGGAATATATAAATGTTTTGATTGCATCCTTTTCCACTGATGTTCACGTCTCGGATGGATTTTCTCTAATAGCGTTGGATGGATGCTGAATCGGTTTTCTGTCGCTCTGACCTTGAAGGAAGGTCATTTAATCTGCTCTCAACATTAAGTGATGCCGCAGCGCTCAGAGACGGTGTCACACTGCTAAATATTGAATGGTTTCCCTGAGGAGCAAAGCGCTGGCAGGCAAACGAGGAAAGAAAAGCAAAACACAAAATATGACAGAGTGCTTTTGGTCTAGATTCTAGTGATTTATATCTTATGACACATGAAATAAGACAAAACTAACTTAAAAGTAACTTTTTGGCACAATATTGGAGTTTATTTACAGTCAATGATCCCTTAATATGGATGAAAAATGTACTAGTACCACTATACAGTCAAAATATCAGACTGTTGTAACAATACCAGAAGAAAGTTGTTTTTACATGAATTAAGTCGTAGTAAAACGAGAATAAAGTCCTAATAACACAAGAATAGTCATACAAGTCATAATATTATGAGAATAAAGTCACAATATTACCAGAATAAAGTCGTAATAATACAAAAATAAATTTGCATGACAAAAAGTAATGAGTGTAAAATTGTAATACGAGAAAATATTCGCAATATTATGAAAGTTAAGTTGTAATAACATAAGTATAAATTTGTTGTAATAAGAGAATAAAGTCGTAATACAAGAAAAAAAATCCCTAATAAAGTTGTAATAGCACAAGAATAAAGTCATAGTTCTACCAAGAATAAAATCGTAAAAGTCATTATCAAAATAAATTGTAATAATATGAGAATAAAGTTGTACAACAACAAGTCACAATAGTATGAGAATAAACTAGTAATAATAGGAGAAAAGTTGCATGACGGTCAAAATAATGTCAGAATAAATCTGGAATATTAGCAGAAATAAGTAGTAATATTATTTTGTCAATATTAAAAGTGGAATAATCTCCCAGTGGAACTAAACTTTTTTTTTATCAATATTAAGAGATTATTTACTTAAAACAAATTCTAAATTAGTTTTGTCTTATTTTAAGTGTACTAAGATATTTTCTCTAGAAACTAGACTTTATGTATTTGCTGAAACTGTTAAATTATTTGAATATATTTTCAGGTCATATTTCCTTAAAATCATTCCTGGTCCCTTCCAGGTTACGCCTTCCTGCTTTTCCAGGAAGAGGCTTCGGTCCAGGCGTTGATTGACGCCTGCATTGAGGAGGACGGGAAGCTCTACCTGTGTGTGTCCAGTCCCACCATCAAGGACAAACCAGTAAGTGTTACTGGTCACCTGTTACTGGTTCCTCTGGCAGATTATTTTACTTGCAACAAGACATTTTTTCCAAGATATTAGTGAAATAATCTGCCTTTGGAACATTAAGGAATTGTTGTCTTAATAGTTTTGTCTAATTTACTGGAGTTATGTGTTTGAACTGGGGATCAAAACCTGCAAATTTAAACTACTGGTGGTTCACAAAATTTATTAAATTAAAAGTGCAAAAATGAATTTACTGTAATTTTTTTTTTTTGTCTATTCATGACATTTTTTTTATCAACTCTATAAATTATTTAAGAAGTAAACAAGGTTTCAAACTGTTGCCTTATTTAAAAAATAAAAGACAATTTTCAAATTTTTCGGGCGTCAGTTGTTTTCCAACATTCTTGTGATCAGGGGCCGGACAAGATGATTTGAAGGGCCACAATTGGCCCCCAGTCCACACTTTGGACACCCCTGGTCTAATTTCTCATTTCAAACATGCTGAAAAATTTGTACTAGAAAGAAAACCATAAATACTTGATAAGATTTTGTGTTTTTGCAGTGTACTGATGATAATCTGAGGCTGATTCATTAACGGATCAAGTTTTTACTTTCTGCCTATTTTCTCCACATCACACAGCTTCATGCTAACTCTGTAGCCCTTTGCTCTCCCATATTTCAGTTTTAGCTCAAATATTTTTAATTTTGTTGATTTATTTCTTGTTTTTCTGTAGGTCCAGATCCGTCCCTGGAACCTGAGCGACAGCGACTTCGTCATGGACGGCTCCCAGCCTCTGGATCCGCGCAAAACCATCTTCGTTGGAGGAGTTCCCCGGCCCCTGCGTGCAGGTAGCCCTCTGTTACGAATCCTGCAGCTTCTGCCCCGTAAAGCCTCCAAATGCGCCTCATAAGGTGAACCGCAGCCGGAGGCGGTAATGAAACGTCTCCCGGTGAGAAAGCAATCTTCGTCTTGGGTTCCCAGGAGGGCGACCCAGAGGTCAACGCGTTAGGAATTCATGAGCTAATGGAAGGTTGAGCCTTTCTCTCAGCGGGATTAGCATTGCTAGCTTGTCTGCAATCTGACCCCCATATAATCACCCCAGCAGGTTGAAGCTGCTGCTGCTGTTTGTGGGGGGCAGGATGGAAAATTCTGTTCAATTTTAGAAACAAACTGTAGGTGCTGAAATCAGTCAACTACTAAAAATAAAACTGGATGTTTTTTTCTTCATTAAAGCTGCATTGCCCAACTTTTACAAAATAGTTGTTTTTTTTACATATTGTGACAGTTTAATATGAGACTGCTAACTAGAAACAACCAATCGGAGCCAGAAGGCGGGTCGGTCTTAGCGCTGTCGATCATCACCCACGCCCCTGTCATAAATGCTAAGGCTAGTTAGCCTAATGATGACAGCAGATAAACTGTTTTCCTGAAACATTAAGTGGTTTCTTACCACATTTACCACATTTAACACTGATGATCTCGGGTTGATTGGCAGCAATAAGCCCCGCCTTCTGGCTCTGATTGGTGGTTTTTGGTCGGGAGCGGCTTAAAAAATTTCTTGTATTTTACGAAAGAGTAACTTTTAAGTTTGATTTCGGCCATATTTGCACTAGAAACTAGACCATTTGGTCAGGTTTTTTGTTTGCATGTTTTGACTGAAGCTCTAAAAGTATTTGGATACTTTTACATTTTTCTCTGATGATACAGAGTTTTAGTACTTTGTGTTTTTGCAGTGCATTCTAGAGGAAACCCAGTCTTAGTTTTTGCTCTGTGTTTTCCTCTTGTCTTCCAGTGGAGCTAGCGATGATCATGGACCGGCTGTACGGAGGCGTCTGCTACGCCGGCATCGACACGGACCCGGAGCTGAAATATCCGAAGGGTGCTGGGCGCGTGGCGTTCTCCAACCAGCAGAGCTACATCGCCGCCATCAGCGCCCGCTTTGTCCAGCTGCAGCACAACGACATCGACAAAAGGGTGAGCGAGTTCACCAGAGAGAGAGAGATAAAATTTCCACTTTATATTTTGTCCGTCTGATGATGTAATCCTTAAATATTGAATGATTGATAATTTGATCGGTTACTCAGTAGTGGAGTAGACTACTTACTAAATACTTTGTTACTTGAGTTTACGTATTTCCTGCTCTGCCAGAAGTTTCTCTGCAACCTACAGAACCGGAAGGCCCGGCCCGACCCGACCCGGCTGTGTAATCACTCTGCGTCCCGACAGATGTTTCAGGTTGCAGACACATAGAGCCGGTTTAATTATAGTAGTTCCTCATGTGTGAATATCCAGCTGCGCCGCAGCTCGCTTATTTTAGGCGCACCGGCCGATTGAGACCGAGACAGACTGGGCGCCAGCCAGGAGGGCGGGCCGGCCCGGTCCAGCCGGGCCCAGCCCACCTCAGCTAATGTCGTTTATCTTCAGTCGGGGGCGGCAAGGGCTTCATTATGAACACAAGTCATGCACAATAACAACAATTAAGGGAGAAAACTGCAACATCTGATGATGTGTTTTTGGTCTGGATTCTAATGTAGATAAATAACTTCAAATAAGACAAAAGTACCTGAAAAGTAGCTTCTCAGCAAGAGATAGGAGCTTGTTTTAAATCAATAATTGATTGAAAATGTGTCTTTTCCTTGTTTATGTGAGTAATTTTATTCTGCTATCAAAACAAGCTCTTATATCTTGCTGAAAAGTTACTTCAAAGTAATTTTTCTCTGATTTCAATCATAGTAAGATAGAAACTAAAATTACCTGATAGGATTTTGTATTTTTGCAGTAATTGTGATCATAATTTGCATTTTTTTGTTGAACTCTTGACGACCTCTCTGCGTCTCCCCCTACAGGTGGAGGTGAAGCCGTATGTCCTGGACGACCAGATGTGCGACGAGTGCCAGGGCGCGCGCTGCGGCGGCAAGTTCGCCCCGTTTTTCTGTGCCAACGTCACCTGCCTGCAGTACTACTGCGAGTTCTGCTGGGCCAGCATCCACTCCCGGGCCGGCCGCGAGTTCCACAAGCCGCTGGTGAAGGAGGGTGGCGACCGCCCTCGACACGTCTCCTTCCGCTGGAGCTGAGGCCGGCGGGGTCAGCGGGGGATCATGGATCTGCACTATCCTCAACCCACATGAAGGAGAAATGAAAACAGCTCCCGCCGTCTCCATCCCAAAAGGAAAAAAAAGCGAAACGGATCAGATTCTCGGTTCTGAACTCGTTGTCAAAGCTTTGTGGGGGAAAAAACTCCACTGGCTTACAATTTGCACTTTGGCACAAAGTCTCACTATAAAAAACTCGCATACACACGTACACACACAGAATGGTTCGGTATGTCCCCCCTCGGGACCGCTCACATATTTAAAAATACACATAGCTCTATTTTTTTTTGTTTTGTACTTATCTAGACATTAAATAGATGGTTTAAATTTTATGCAAAAGGAGCATGCACTTACTTTGAAACAGCTGTAGTTACGTCGCCCCTAGTTAAAAACATAAAGAATAAATAAATTAAAAAACTACCAAAGGCTAATTGAATAAATGCAGAAGTTAGGCAGCATCAGATGTAGCAACAATTACCAGCTCTGAAAACAACTGATATATTCTCTGTAAATGTTAATACCTCACAATCAGATTAGTTTGCGTTCAATATCTAGGTCTTTATTTTTATAATAACAAATTTTTTTTTGTGTAATGTAAATGTAACTGCTGCGGGAGCTTTGCTGCTAAATCCCATGGTATGAACAGATACCATAAGTACTTTATTTTATTTTCCCAGCGAGGAATTCAGAAGCAGCCGGCGTTTCAGGACGACAAGTTGTCTCAGGCAACGATGGCCGACGTGTTGAGGTCAGGGGTCGCCCCTAACTGCATGTTCTCGTCAGGCTGCTGCATGCAAAACACTTTTTCAGTATCATGTCTGCAGGTTTTTGTGTTTATTTTGATTCTGGCCATGTTTTGCACAACGCACTGCAAGTCGTGTTACACCCTGCTGAAGGATTCACGCATCAGATCACTGAAAACTTGATGGTGTTTTACTGGGATTTTATAAAATTAGAGCGACGCAAAGTAATTTTTGTAGTGAAGGAAATTTGCAAATTAAAAATCTCAATAGGGAAACAGTGGAATATTTTCTGGCCCTCAGATATCTGAATATTTCTCCTCCACTGTTACAGCAAAACCAGAAAATCTTACCAAGTATTTTTGGTCTTAGTTAAAATAAGAAAAAATAACTTACAAGTAACTTCAATAAGAAATAGGATCTTAAATAGAAATAGGATATTTAAGTAAATATACATTAATATTGATGAGGAATGCTGGATTATTTCTTTTCACATCAAGACATTTTTCCCATGTAAAAAGTGAAACTGGAGCAAAAATACTTGGTAAGATTTGGGGGTGTTCCAACACCACCAAAGTGCGTCTCTCAGATTTTCACATTTAGATCGAACACTTGCACTGCACCAATATAAAACTTTGGATTGATAGCGATATCGATATTAATCTTGCATTTACGTCCAATAACCGATATTTATCAATATTATACATAGTATGTCATAAGTATTTCTCTACCTTTAAAAGAATTGCCGAAACCAAAAGTCAATAAGAAGAAAATAAATATCGATATAAAATTTTAAAAAGGCTTTCCACAGTTTTCTGTTGGATTTAGGTCTGAACTTTGACTAGGCCATCCTGACAAACAAATATGCTTTGATCTATAGAATTGTTGTCATAATGGAAAGTGTATTTCTGCTCAAGTTTCAAGCTTTTGCAGCATCTTGAAAGTTTTACTTGCACTCTGATCAAAGCGTGATGCTGCCACCACCTTGCTTCACGCTGGAAACTGCAACATCGGTTCTCCTTCTGATAAAGTTTCGCTTGTCGGCAAAAAAAAAATGTTGATCTGTGATCTTAGCCCCGAATAATCTGGAAAACTACAAACAGGACTTTTTGTTGCTTTCTTTTAAGTTTTTCTTTCTTTTTTTAAAAAACACATCACAAACAGCTGAATGCTAACATTTAGGTAAACACTGGATTTTTATCAAAGATGGCTCCATTTGTTCTCAGCCTTCCTTTCTGTTCATCAGTCACGTGAAAATCCCACTAAAACACAGTAAAGTTTTTAGTTCGCGATTTTGATGCGAGGAAAACATTTTCCGGACGTTCAAGCCGCCATGTTTACGACCACAACGCCGCGCGAGCGGATCGGGACGACGGCGGTTTCTAAACTAATATTACTCACAAATGAAGTGTAGGACTACAACTAAAACCTGTAATAGGCGAAGTACTTTATTTGCGGTGATTGTGTTTTATAATTGTGCAATTTTCTTTCTTTTTTTTATACTGTACGTAGTTAGATCTGCCTAGAACTGTGATTCTCTGTAACTGTCGTTCAGTGTCCGACATGGAAGTCCTGTGAAACTTCATGAACTCGCTAGCTAGCATATCCACACGTATATCCGTCGGCTATATACATGTAAGACGTTCTCACTGGTTCACGTCTGGATACACACGGAACACACACCTGGGACGGGAGGTTTTCGGGCCGAAAACCACGAATCTGAGCGGAAGAGAAGACGTTAATGTGAGGGGGGTTAAAAAAACAAAACGAACACGTAAAACTATATTGTTCACGCACGCAAAACTTTATTGTTCGTTCCAACTCTTGACAGAAACGTTTTACGTCACGACGCAACCAAAGAGCTCACTTGTTTGTCTTTTTTATTTTTATTTTGGAGTGAATAAGCAGAAAAAACCCATAAAGCTACTGGAGATTTGAGATTGATAAACTGAGCCCTTTCACTTGCTGATATATATATATTTATATATTTTCTTTAAATGGGGAATATGGCGGAGATGAAAATGTGTGACGCAATCACCAGATTTTTAATTTCTTTTTTTAATATTTCTTTTTTTGTCTCCTGCAAAGCTTGAAGTATCGGACCTGCTAACTAATGACATAAAAATAAAGGTGGACATTATATATTTTTGGGTTCTATTAAAAGCTGAAAAGGAAATGATGGTGACGGAAACGTAACTGTGTGTGTGTGTGTGTAACTGTTTTCAGTCGTAAACTGTTGTTTTTCCTGCTTTTTTTTAAACTTTTTTTTAATTTCTGTTTAAGAAAAACTAATTGGACCTGAGCAGAAGAGATATTATTCCTGATGAATAATAACGAGTGAATTCTGGGGAGAGTTTTTATTTTTTCCAACATTTCTTTGCCCCCTTTTTGCCCAGTTTTCTTTTATTTTTGTTTTTTTCTGTATTTGTTGTGCACTACACTCTATCTGAAAACAGTTTGCAACAGTCAGCAGTTTTTTTTGTGTTTTTTGGGGGGTATATCCTTTGCAATACCTCAGTTTTGACATATATTAGGAGAGAAACATTTTTCTAAGTTTATTCAGATGGACAAATATATATTAATTTAATTCTTCGAGAGAGATGATTTTTAAAAAAATATTTTTATTTTAAGAATTTATTTTTTTTAAAGAGAGTTAATGAAGGAGCTAAAGCTTTATAACTAATATAATAATGTTCGTAGTGAGAATAGGGTCTACTTTACTGGTGTAGAAGTAGGAGTCCAACTGGTATAATTGGTTGAGAGCAGAAAGCTCAAATATCAGGTGCTCTGAGAAGACATTAAAGCAGATTTCCCACCTTTTTTATATTTATAACCAATTATCTATGCTGACCAGAGTTATGAAAGAGATCTTCTGTTTATTTTTTTTAAAATACGTTTTTTATGTTTCCTAAAAGTATGTGCTCCCGTTTGTTTCTTTTTGTTTTGTAAAAAAAAATTAATGAAAAGAGAATAAATAATAATAAATAAAAAAAAAACAATATAAAAATAATTGATTTGCTGTCCTGACGTGGTTGGGAAAGACTTCTGAAAGTCACTGGACACAGAAAAAGAGAAGAATGTTATTTTTAACACTAAACAGACACAAATGTTTTCACCTGTAGCTTGATTGAAACCCCCCAAGGTGCATCAATTTGACTGGTGGCCTTTCTGTTCACGCGAGACTTGAATTAGCCCGGGCCCTTCTTCATTTTTAAGGCTAACAACCTTGATTCTTTGTCGTAATGTGCAATACTCTGTTTGTACCATTTGTAGAAAAGAAGAAAACGAGAAAAAGAGGCATAAAATCTTATTGCGAAATTATTTTCATTGCAAGCGTTGTGATCCACTAAAATCATTTTCTACTGTTTTTTTGCCTCCTCTACCTGCTAGTACCTTCCAGTAGTAATGTAGCCTTTGTACTGAGAAATTTTCTTTTCCTTTCTTTTAAGAGTTTTGCAGAAAAAACAAAAAAGGAATTCAAACATATTTACATTTTTTTTTATTATTATTTCATATATTTTGTTTATTTACAGACTTCATATCTGGTCATGTCATTAGTATTATTTTGTATTTTTACTTTGAAAAAATTAATTTTATGATGCTAATTCTTAATTTTAAATTTTTTTGAAGCTGAAAAATCCCTTTGTATTGTTACTAAACTGTCTTGTTTCTTGAAATGCTGAGCTTCATGTGTTAACTTGCTGATGTTGATTAAATCAGTGTGAAAATGATCTTCAAAAGTAAAAAAAAACTACTCAGAGGAAGAGTTTGGTGGTTGGTGATGTATAAGTGGTTTATAATGTAAACAAATGAACAGGCAATAAAGGAAAACTGGCAGAAACAAAAATATTTGTGCTGTAATTGAATAAAACAACACTGAAGTACAAATGTTGCTAATGTTACAAAAACTAAAATATTGAATTATTTAATCAAATTCCTTAAATGTTAAAGAAAAAAATATAAATTCAGAGGATAATTTCACATCTTTAAACCCATCTTGTTTTAAAGTGCATCAGTTTGTATTTTGCTGCATTTAACTGCAAATCCTACAAAATATATTTGTCAATGTTTATTATTTAACACAGCATAATTTAACAAATATTTTACGCTAAAGGAAATTAAATGCTGTTATTAAAATCCAAATGTTTTCAAAAAGTCAATTGTGATGCTAGAAGGAAGGAAGTCCAGCAGCAGTCAGTCCTGCAATTTATCTGAAGAGGCCTCTGATTGAAGAGTGTTGCAATCTGATTCATGATCGTCATGATATGCTAACAGCTAGATATCTGGGCAGATTATATTTCTATGGTGTCATGTCCTGGATCAGTGGTTCCCAAAGTGTGGGGCGCGCCCTCTAGGGGGGGCGCAGTGCCATTGCAGGGGGGGAGTGGTATGGATGAAAAACAAAAAAACAGGTACAGAACAGTGTTTCACTGTAAAGATGGTTTGTAGTGTGTTTTGTTGCAACCTGAAGTGTGAAATAAACTTCAGTGGAGATGAAAACAAAATATGTGTAAAGGTTTATGTCTGGCTGAATAATGTGTGTATGCTGTTGATTTTTTCTCTTTTTTGCAGAGATTTCATTGTTATCCTTAGGGGGACCCAGAAAATCTTTGTCCTGGATGATGTCATCAGTTGTTGGCTAGCTCTGCTATCCACCTCATTTGCTTTTGCATCATAGCTTAACAAAAATTATATATATTATTTCCAGCTGGATAGCATCCAAAACCGGAGGGGATAAAAGCAAAAAAACCCCCAAAACAAATAAAAAAACAATTAAACCTAGAAAAAAAAATTTCCACCCCAGTTTTCCAAATTTAAAAAAACCTAATACTATAACTAATCATTATAAATATCTTTCTGACAGAATTTGGCCACAGAAATTACACCTGGAGCTTCTTTTCCATTGCTTAAAGCTTAATAAATTAATCCATTTTCTATAAATTTGCTTGTTATGTTCACTTCCAGTACAAATTTCATGTTACGATCATGTTCACAAATGTGCGACACTGCCCTCTAGCGGCCACTGCGCTCAACGAGTGTTTCAAAGAAAACCATAAAACCTGCTACGATGACGCTTACATTTCCTCAAAGCAGGGCTTTTTGGGGGGCATTAAGTAATTCTGTAGATTTAAAATTTTACGAATAGCAGAGTTTTGCTCAATAAAATTGAATAAAAGCCTCAGTTAAGAGGCTGCACACTCCAGCAGCAGAAGATGATTGAAAACCTGAACAAAAAAATCCATAAAACTTAGCAGACATCAAAAAGTTTAATCATCTGCAAGATAGCCTAGAGCCTCACGAGGAGTCTAAACTTTGAATTGAGCTTCTAGCTGAAAGTTGTAGCTTTGAGAAGAGAGAAGAGAGTTTTGGCTTAATTTAGCAAGATTCTTGAGATTTTCAAAGGAGCAAAAACAGAACATTTAAAAAGTTGAAGTAGCATAAAATATGCATCAGAAGATAGATACTAATATATAATAAAGATAAATGTGAACAAGAGTGAATGCTTTTCAATTTAGGCCAGCTTAAAATAAAGAACGTCTTTAAAGGGACAGTTGTGGCAGACGATATTGACAAAATTCTTTTAAAGGGGCAGTGTTATGTTCCAGATCCTTAGTGCTCTTTTAGATCATTTATTAGTTTAAAAAATGCTATCTGTATATTTATCCAACATGGCTGTTGCTGCCCGATTTAAAATGGGGCCTCTGTCTCTTTAAGAAGGTTTGCCCTTTTTGAAGCTCCGCCTTCAGGAAGTCATTACAACATGGCTCCTCTATTAACCCTTTGAGTAATTTTATGAGCGTTTCAATAAGAAGTAACTCGTATGATGAGCTCAGGAGATGCTCAGTTGCAGCAGGAGGTTCTCTGCATTTGATGAAAACCTCTTGAAATTAAACATCTTTTCACCTTGAAGTACCGATAAACCTGATTTGATTAGTAAAATAGTATTTTAGCACAACTGTAGTCACTGTGAAAGACCACATGAAAACTACTGGTGGGCCGGATTTGGCCCGCGGGCCTCGAGTTTGTCCTGGCATTCACAAACAGAAAAAAAGGGCAACATTCAAGGTTTGCAGAATTTATTACGATTCCACTAGAATAAAGAAAAAGCAATATGTACAAGTCTACAGTTCCTATTTAAAACACTTTGGGTCAAGTTTTCAGGTACCAGTCTGGGCTCTGCGCCGCGGCTCGTCACAGCCACCTGGGTTCCCTTTGTGATCCAAACCGTGTGGGTTTCCATCCATTAGAGACGCGCTGACAGGCAGGACTTGGTTTAAGACTCTGACATGTTGCAGAAGCAGTTAACACTGAATATCCTCTGGAAGGTGAAGTGCGAAAAGAGCGAGCTCCTGCTGCCGCAGATATAAATTAGAGCTATAATTATTATACATGTGCTTGAAAGGTGAGAGCAGCACCATCTGACGACGACGTAATTCAACACTGGAGATGTTTGTCGCTTGCTCTGGTTTACTGGTCTGTGGCGGTCGGGTTCACTTACTGTCAACGTTTAAAAAAAAAAGTTCTGGAGAGGACTGAGGCTTGGAGCAGCTCTAAGTCCAGACCTTTCAAATTAAGAGCATTAAAATGTACGAACAGTTCCTGATCTGGTTGTGTTTGACTTCTACTGTAACCCTGATCCATTTTTATTATTTTCCCTCCTGGCCAGGTCCGGCTTGGCCTCCAACGACTGAACGGAGTCCTAACAGTGCTAGTGCAACGAGTTCATGAAGCTGTCCAGGTTGTACTCCGAGTCGTACTGCTGCTGGTCCCACAGCTCCCCGAGGCCGTCCAACACGGACTTTATGGACGCCTTCCCTGAGGTCGATGACGACTGCTCTCCTTTGTCACTTTTGTCGTCCTGAAATCATCAAGAAACAAAACCAAAAGGATGAATTAGTCCAAATATCGAGACAATGAGAGACACAAACTGGGGAAAGAAACCGTCTTGGATTTGCAAACAGTTTCTGTAGCGTTAATCTGAAGGTGAAAGTCTGAACAGTTAATGTCCAGAATATGCGGGATCTGCAGAAACGTGTCAAAAGTCTTACTTAATAGTCTTGTGGAACAAATCAACTCGATTTTTTCAGCTGTTGATGTTACGCATGGCTGTAATAAACAAAGTAGAGGACTATACATCTCAGAAAAATTGAGTCATCTTTTCCAAACTAGAGGGTCAGGCTAAACAATTTTGATCTTTGTGCCTCTGGTAAGGCACAGACCACCACCAGTGGATGGCAGTGTTCTAGTATTCCCATCCCAGTCTGGAGCGGCCGGCTGCTCCAGGCTGACAGCCCTCCCCTCTGCGCCGGAGGTTTGGACCGTGATGTGCTACGTCAGGTCAGAATTAATTCAGCAAATGTGTTTCTATCTCCAGTCACCTTGTCCAGAGTGAAGAGGTTGAGCAGCTGGTCTGTGCCCATACTGTGCAGGCTGGTGTTCTCCTGGTTGATGACGGTGTTGGCGATGCTCATCTTGAATTTCTGCAGACCCATGATCTTCTCCTCCAGCGTGCCTCGCGTAATCAGCCGGTAAACGTTCACCACCCGTTTCTGCACAACACAGACGACAGGATGCAGAAGGTGAGCCTTAGAGGTGACCCTTCATGTTTCATGCCCAGGACAGGTCAATGGGCAAAACAAAACTTGTTCTTTACATTTTTTGCACAAAAATCAATTTTAGATAAGATTTTAGCTGTTTAAGGGCATCTTGTCACTTTAAATCCAAATAAGCTGCTGCTGGCCATGCCTCCTGACACTCGCATGTAAAAATGTTTGCAAACATATGAAACTATACAACCGTAAAAAGCAGAAGTGGAGCCTCCTGCACAACCAACAAGACTTCAGCAGGAGCACTTGTCTTGTCCAGCAGCCATTGTGCAGCTGGACAAGTATGTTCCAGTATTTTTGGTCAGCTGGTAAAACCAGCTGACCAAAAATACTGGAGCTTAGCTTTGTTGCTCAGCAACATTAACTTATTGTTAAAAAACAGTTAGGTGCTTTTTTAAAAAGCCTAGGAGGTTTTTAGAAGCAGCAGAAACCGAAATGGAAGTACAAACGTCACGTCTCTCCCCTTCCTGATTTTCCACGAGAGGTCATAAAGCGTCCCGCAGCAGTACCTGTCCTATTCTATGGGCGCGGTCCATGGCCTGCAGGTCCCTCATGGGGTTCCAGTCATGCTCCACAAACACCACAGTGTCTGCGCCGGTGAGGTTCAAACCCAGACCACCGACATGGGTGGTGAGCAGCAGCACATCGATGGAGGGATCGTTGTTAAACCTGAGGAACAGAAAAGATGATGACGATGATCAGCCTCAGTTATAAACCAATCAACAAACTGAGGATTTGTTCTTCTACCTCAGGCGGGTCAAACTCATTTCATATTTTGGGTTACATTGAGATCTTGCATCTTCTTAAAGGGCCGGTTGCACCAGAATATATTGATAAAGCTCATTAACAATGCTTTTGCATTCGATAAATAAGTATTGAACACCTTTTCACACTGATCAATCCCTCCAGGAGTTTGCGATTGTTTTTGTGATCAAATACACATTTAGAAATATTTACATTTCTGTATTTTGTTAAGCTTTATTTTTTTGTTACTAGCCACATCGATCACAGACTGCAACTTAAAAGTAAGAAATACTGCCACCTGCAGGTGTGAGTTAGAATCAATTAAACATGATGTTTGACAATTGTTATGGAAAATTTACAATACAAGAAAATGTGTTGATTTTGTTTGGATTTTTGCAGAATTTTGAAAAACTGACTGATAAAAGAGCCTCATGTTTGACGCAGGTGGCGTACCTGGAGACGATAGAGTGGCGCAGGCCGGCCGGCACGCTGCCGTCCAGCCGCAGGTAGGTGACAGAGGGCAGTTTGGGCTTCAGCAGGTCGTGCTCCACGATGTCCAGCATGCTCTTCAGCTGACAGAAGATGAGAACACGATGCTGCGCCACCACCGCCTCCGTCCCGCCTTCCGCTCCTCCGCTGCCGCCAAGACCGCAATCCAGCAGCAGCTGGAGAGCGAGAGCACGTCAGAACCGCACCAACGTAAAAAAATAGAAAAACACGTAACGGTGCCTCAGCACTCTACCTGCTTGAGAGCAGAGAGCTTCGGCGCGTGCTGAATGTCGCGCAGGTTGGAGTTCTGACACGCCAGCTGATCCGTGATGCGTTTGTACTCCGGATGCTGCGGCGTCAGAACCAGGTTTGGGTGGTTGCAGAGCTTCCGCAGGTACTGCAGCGCCTGAAGGACAGAAAGTCTGGTTACATCGCGGTCACAACAGAAAGCAACACAATGCAGCAGCCAACTCAAATCTGCAGCAGAAGGAAAATAATGGAGGTCGATTTGGACTTAAGAGTTTTACTGCAATATTTTGTGGTACGATAAACGTGACGATTATTGCTTAGTTTTTAGGTAACTGTAGTCACACAAACAAAAACATTGCATTTGTCACAGATTGAATGAAGTAGTAAATTTAACAATCCCGACAATACGGACAGTTTTGACATTTTGAACATTAACTGGAATTTATTGTAATGACAATAAATCAAAATTCTTTTGACAATAAATTAAGATAAATTATAAATACGATTAATTCCCAAATTTAAAGAAAAATTACAATTTTTGTCAAGTAATGTTCTGAAAAGCATGAAAAACTTTGCAAGAATAAGAATGGACAGGATCAGTCAAAGAGCGTCTGACGTTGCAAGACTTGAAAGTTAAAGTTCAAAGTGTTAATTAAATTTAAATCTGCACTTCAACTAGACCATTATCACATACAAAAACGCTTCAAAGGTCAAGTCTATGTTCGGTTTGGTGAACTGCTACTCCAATGTTTCCTTTGCCTACATCCCCCAGAATGCCGTGCGGCTCTGGATCAGACTCCAGTGAAATGATCAAATTCTATAACGATAAACAAACTGAAGTTTGCGTAAAAAAGTCTCGGTACCTGGAAGACGTGACCCGTAGCCTTCAGCTTGGGCTTCTCCTCTTCCTCACTGGAGGCTGCAGAGATGCTGTCCTCCACGCTGGCTTTGGCGCGAGACTTTGCAAAGTCTTCGTAAAGCTGAACCTGAGAGAACATTCGGGGTTTTAACAGATCAGAGAGAACAAAAAATAAAAACTGACATTTTGCATGTTAAGAATTTTGAAGGCAACAGGATGAAGAACATCAGAGAAAACGACTGAAAACAAATCCAGGTGAAGAAATGTTAGTCTGTTGACAGCCAGACGTCTGAATGCAAACTTCAATACTGACTCCTGCAAAAAAGGAAGGAACAAAGGAAGGAAAGAAGGACAGAAGGAAAGACGCAAGGAAGGCAAGAGCCCTCGTACCTGGAGAGGGCTCAGAGTGCAGTAATAGTCCTGGATTATTTTAGGAGGAAGGTCTTGGAGCACGTCCTCCTTCATCCTCCTCAGAAGGAACGGCAGAACCTGCCGATGAAGAGCCTCCATGGCGAGGACGCCTGGCGGGAGGAGACGTGCATCAGCAGTTTAAAACGGAGAAAATAAAGTTCACTTTTAATCTGAAGAGACAAATTTAAGAGTTTCTCATCAACGTTCATGATGACGTTTCACCATTTCTAAATTAAACAATCATTTATAAACAAATTCAGTTTCTAAAGAATAAAACAGAAGGAAGGAAGGCAAGAAAATGAGGGAGGGAAGGAAGCAAACAAGGAAGAAATGGAAGAAAGAAATCAAGGAAGGAAGGAAAGCAAAGAAACAAGGGAAGGAAAAAAATGAAAGAAAGAATGAAGGAAAGAAAGCAAGCAGTAAGGGAGGGAGCGAGGAAAGAAGGGCATAAGGAAAGAAGGAAGGAGGGAAGGAAGGAAATCAAGAAGAAAGGACAGGAATCCGAAGGGAAGGAAAAAAGGAAAGAAGGAAGGCCGGCATCCTGGTAGGTTCAGACAACGTTTCCCGTTCTCCTCTCCAATCCTTCAGTCAATTATTATTCCAGGCTGAGTTGGACCGTTGCATTCTGGGAACACGACTTACCAGCTTCCTGTTCTCTGGATGAGCTCTTGGCGTCGCGGCTGGCCAGGATGGGTTTCCCGTAGCGAGCGGCGAACTGGCGTTCCGTTCCCAGGAAGCCAGGCATCAGGAAGTCGAAGAGCGACCAGAGCTCCAGGACGTTGTTCTGCAGAGGAAGCGGAGTGTTTCAGTGGATCCACCAGGGGGAGCCGATGCTTCCTCTGAGGACTCACCTGGATGGGCGTTCCCGACAGGATGACCCTGAAGTTAGCCGCTAGCTGCTTGATGGCTTTGGACAGTTTGGTTTTCCCATTCTTGATCACATGACCCTCATCCAGGATGCAGTAATTAAATTTTATATTTCTGTTAAAAAATAAAAAACAGACATTTTGCTATAATGGGATGATTCTAAGCCAGAGGTTTCCAAAATGCAGCTCAGGGCCATTTGTGTCCCTTAGACTGTTTTCTGCAGCCAAAGCTGCAGTTAAAAAAATGATAAAAAAGTTAGACGCAGCTGGAGACTATTAGTTTTTAATCAGGGTAAAAATTTACATCATTTTCTTACACCAGAAACGTAAAGTACAACACAAAGTATTTATCCTTTTATAACCAAGTTTAAACCAAACTTAACTTTTCCTGAAAAGCCAACTTTGGTAGAAATCATCTTTTATTTTTTCTTAAACTTGACTAAATCTAACATTTTGATAGAAAGTTACCCAAATCTTATCACTGAAATTTATTCAATCAAACCCAACAGAAATAGAAAACTACAAGCATTTCTTTTTAATACACCAAACATGCTAAGTTAAAGTAGAAGCAGTAAATTTATGCAAAAAACCAAAAAACAAATGAAGAGTAATCTCAGACATTTTCTAGAAAAAAGAACATTTCTGAGCTCCAAAAACAAAATGATGAAATTTTGACCATGTATCCAAAACATCTTTCTGAAATACAAATGTTTTTCTAGAAAATATCTGAGTTTTTGGAGGAAATATACTCCTTTTATCCCTTTAAGGTTTTTGCTCTACAATAAATATCAGACTACTTTTTTGCTTGATTTTAGTTGGGGTTTTTTTAGCCTGCGATTACCTTTGAATCTACAATTTTGGCAAAAAGTTTGGACACCCCTGCTCTACGTAAAGAACAGATTCAGAGGATCCTCACCTAAAAAAGTCGATGTCGTTCCGCACAACATCATAAGAAGCGACTACCAGGTTGTGTTTTTTCACTTGATGCTGCAACCTGAAACGCAAAGCCTCAGTTAGTCATCCAAGTATTGGCTTTATGGAAAAAAAGGAAACGCTTTCCTTGCTTGTTCAGTCCTGCAGGGTAAGTCTGAGTCATGCTCGCGCGGCGAGATGACTGATGCTCACCGCATTCGCTCCGTGGGAGGCCCGGTGTAGTGCAGCGGGTTGAGGAACTCTCTGGAGCAGAACTTGGCCACTTCGTCCACCCAGTGGCCCGTTAATGTGGGCGGACACACCACCAGCGAGGGCAGGGGGCTGCAGTCTGCTGCCTTGGTCTTTGCATATTCTTGAGCCCTGAAAAGCTCAAAGTTAGCATCAAAGCTTCAAGAACAGACAGAAGAAGCATTTTTCATAAATGAGATCTCACTGAATGAAGTTACATTTCAGATTTTTATAGAAATTCGGGACTTTATTAATACTATTTTTGTTTTCTTTGCAACAAAACCTTTGTTCAAAGCAAGTTACTTTGTTTTTATCATGCAACGTCGTTAAACTTTGCTGTTCTTGATTAAATAAACCTGAACTGAGCACCTGAGGTACTGATCTCCTGCCAGGATGCAGATGGACTGCAGCGTCTTCCCCAGGCCCATATCGTCACAGAGGATCCCGTGCAGCTTGTATTTATTCAAGAATGCCAGCCAATTCACGCCGTCCTGCAGGACACAGCAGCATGTTTGTGTTAACATCATAGAGACGGAATCTCCAAACAAACTGTAAAAATCAGGTCACAAAGTAACATAGAACTCATTCAGTTGCTATTCAACTTCTATTTTTAAATAAAACATGAATTCAGTAAAAAAAAAAAAAAAAAAAAAAAAACACACAAGATTCAATATATAATATCCACAAATACTCAGGGAAAGTTTAGTGGAAGGTAAAACTGTAGTAGAGTAAGAAAATTATGCTTTTTTCTACTTTTATGATGCTCCATACATTTCATCAACAACAGGATAACTGAAGTGATTTTTTTCTGTGTCCACACTCATCCAGCTGGACATGCCAACAGTGCTGGAGGCGAACAACAAAGCTGATTCTGAAAAATTACATTTGTAGTTTAAGCTCCTCAACTCTCGGTCTGGGTTCTTTCTTATCCAGGTGAGCAAGAAATCACTTTCTTCCCGTTTCTAGTTTTTATTTTATAACTTTATTCATTTCAAATTAATTAATTTTTCATCTGCTGCCCAGACGGCTGACAAACGGCTCACCTGCTGATACTTCCTGAGCTCGGCTTTAATCGGCACAGGGATCTTATAGTTCTCCAACTTCCTGCCGTCCAGCAGCTGCTCCAGAAACTGGCGCTCTCTCGCTTTCTGCTGGATTAAGTCGGCCGACATGGCCGGCGGGTCTGGTATTCCTGCCTGCGATTGGATGAATTAATTTGATAGTTTTCAGTCCTTTTACCAACAATAAAGATTTAAATTGATAAAACGGGAGAACGTACCTCTAAAGGCAGCAGGCGGATTAACGTAGCGAAGCACTGAGTGGCCATAAAACGAATACTGTCGCTGGGGTCGCTCATGCGGCCCAGAACAGGAACAACCAGCAGCACGATGTAGGGAACGATGTCGACATCCAGCTGCTCCATCACACCTGGAGAGCGTTGGTTAAGGGAACAAACACGCAGAAAAACAAACGTCAACGCTGTGATTAAATGTTGGAGATCTGAGGGTGGGACACAGTTCATATGAAAACAGCAGCTCTGGGAAGGTTTTCTGACATCCTGCAGAGAAATTCAAGCAGAAACTTTCCACAAACTCACAAGTTCAATAGATGCAAGAATTGTGCAGATGATATCAAAGAAGAGGTTAACATGTAAATCGCTGTGTTAAGATGTTTTTGATTGAAATAGCTTTTTAGTACATGTGATCCCTTAATGCTGCACGTTCAAAGAATGACCGTTTGCAGTTCTTTATAATCCATAAAATGTTTAGAAAATGTGCTGAGCATAATAATTTGGAACAAGGCATTTTGAGTCTCTTACTTTTGGAAAGAAAAATACAGTTCTCATGGGGAGCTATGAGAAGTAAAATTTGATTTGTACTTTAATAGTTCATGACTTGAAAATTATACTGATCATCATTTGCATTGATCATTTAAGAAAATCTGAGAAAATATCACTTGCATAATAATTTGGAATATGATAAAGAGGTAATTTTCAAGTAATATAAATGAATATAAATAAACATTTAACACAGGAAGACATTTTAAATATCCCCCCCAAAAAATCAAATCTGGTATAAGAAAGGTTATATTTGCTGTGAGGTTGTTGTAAATGTGGTTATTGAATAAACTTTGACTTCATTTCAGTGAAGGATACAAGCCAGCGCCTCGATGGCGCCCTCCTGTTTTGTGCAGTCGTCGATAGCAGCTAACCAGTGGAGCACAGACTCCAGGAAACTGTTCATGGTCTCCAGTGTGGCTATCTTACTGAGCACGCCCACACAGCGCGCGGCCATGTGCCGCACCGCTGTGTACGGGTGCTGCAGGCATGTAAACAAATGAGGTAGGTGTTCCAGTAACTAGGAGGAATAAGAGAGGAGAGGTGAAAGGTTGGAGATATTTGGGTCAAAAACAGAAGCATGTAACTGGAACTGCAGGAAAGTTCTGACTAAAGCCTGTTCTCACTCTAACCGGTTAATGTCTGGTTCTGGTCTTGTCGTCTCCATTAGTAGGGTGTTCCCCTTCCTGGGGGATATGTAAAATCTCTCGGCGTATTTGTGCGCTGCAGGCTGCCCTGTTGTAATGTAAATCCACAGGCCGAATCAACGAATTCAGTCTGTTTCCCCGTGGTCGGCACGCTTCTGCTAACCTGCTAATAGCAGAGCTAATTTCTTATTTGGTGCTTTTTCTAACTTTCAAAACATTCAGTGCACTAAGCTTCCACTAAATAAAGTTTTTGTGACTTTTTTGCTAATTTTCCGTTGAGTGAAATCTGACATCCGAGTTAAAGTTTCGGACATGAATTGTGAATTCTTGATGTGGTTATGGTTTATATTCGTGCTCTTATTTTGAATGGGGAAAAAACTTTATGCAGCAGCTTCAATTCCTCTCCTCACACTCTTAGTAGAAAAAGCATTTTTGTCTGGTTTCTAGTGCAAATATCTTAGTAAACTTGAATTAAAACTATTTAAATGCAACTTATCAGCAAAATATAGGAGCTTGTTTTAAGTAAATGATTCCTTAATATTGGAAAAAAAAAGAATTAATCTATTAGCAGATTATTTCACTAAAAACATAAGGAAATTGTCTTGTTATAAGTTAATTTATCTGTCAATGGAACTGGAACTTCTTCACCAATATTAAGAAATCATTTACCGAAAGAAAATCGGTTAAAGCGCAGAAGGGGCTTGGTAGCATCACAAAGGACACTACAGGAGAGATCATGAACCATCAGTCTTACCAAAGGTCGAAGTTCAGCCGCCATGGCTCCAGCCATGACTTCCAAAACTTGCAGAGAGTTGACCAATTCCTGAGCTGCCGCATCGCCTCTGTCCAGCTGGGCCTGCCTGTCTAAATCACAAACAGGACATTCAGGTTCAGGAGAACAAATACTGAAACACTCCGGAGAGTTTAAAACTGGACAAAACAAAACTGACTCAAATTCCTGTTATGACTTTGAGTCCTGAAGGCCTAAAATCTGGAACTTGCATAATTATGAAATTACCAACATATTACTTGTGTATAAGTTTAATGCAATAACTACACTGACAGTCAAACTGCCTGCGTACCGATGCAGAGGTTCTCCTTGGCGACCGCCTTCAGGGGTCCCACCGTGTTTTCCCAGAGGTACGGCAGACTCCGGTTGAGGTCTGCACCAAAGTGCCTAGCAATGGTCGTTAGGGCAAACTCCGCTCCCCGTCTTTGAACAAGAAACTGCTTCTTGCTCTTTAAAAAGAAGAAAAAAAACCCCAGTTCACAGAGAATCTGCTGCTGATGCGTGTGAGAAAAGCTGCGTCCGTCTTTACCTCATCGTTATCGGAGCTTATCATGCTGCCAGGAGGAAGCTCTGTCACCGGGGCTTTCGGCGCCTTCGGTGTCGGACCCCTTTTGCTTGTAATTGCGAACGCGGCCCGTTGGTGGCGGTACAGAGTGATGATCCCCTGGGTTTTGTTGACTATGTGATGCATGCCATCTCTTTCCAGCCCACCTCCTTAGATAGTGAGACAGAAATGCTGCACATGAGACAGTTAATCTCTGATAATCTCCCAGTTAACTCAAAATAACCAATCAACGCATCTTTCACATGACGGAAAAAATCTTTTGGCTGTTTTGGAAAAGAGCAGATAGAGTGTAGCAGGGAGTAAAATTAATCTGAGGGGAATGCTTTGAATAGACGGCAAATTGCGAAAATAACTGGCAAGATATTGAAAGTTCCAGTTATGACAAAATGGACAAATACAATTACTCACAGAACGTTTGAAGAACTTTGTACAATTGAAATAAGCAAAAATACCCAATTGGAGATTTTAAATTATGACTCAAAGGGCTAAACTGTTTTAACAAATATGTAAAAAACATGTTGTTTATAAAAGTTCTTTACTTGAGCTTTAATGTCCAAACCTTTAGCCTGTTCTTGCGCTGTGGGAACGGGACAAACGGACGAGGGCGTGGCCGAGGGGTCCATGCACGCCGAAGCGCAGAGGTTTTTGATGATCTTTGGGTTGGGGCACGGTGAGCGGACGGCGCACTGCCGCAGCAGGTTGGCTATGAACGAAGCGGCGTAACTCTGGATCAGGGTGTTCTCCTCCTTCTTGACCGTCTCCATGAGCGGCCGCACCAGAGGGTTGAGCTTGTCGGGAAGCACTTCCAGGTTGATGGCGGCGCAGGCGGTGAACATGTGGACGCGCAGGTGCAGCTGCTGCCATTCCGTGTTGGTCTCCATCACCGTAGACTGGGCTTGCTGTCGTTTGCTCTCCAGCGCCAGCCACTGCTTGGACTTCACGTTCAGACCTGCCGTCGTCTCTGTGAAGATGGTGGTAACCTAGGCAACGAGAAAGAAGAAGTTTTATTTTAACAGACAAACTGGATTAATATTGCATTTTCTGCCCACAAAAACACATGCAGTGCATGGGTTACACCATTATCACAGCTAACTTAGCTGCTTGGCTAATTTATTTGGCTAGCACCTTCATACATGGTAAATTTAAGAGTTTCGCAGGAAAATTGGTTTAAAAACCCCAAACATCAAAAAGAAAAAGAATAATTTGCATAAAAACTTAACAGAAATAGCTACAGCAGTGTCACAGCGTTAACTTGTAGCTTTAGCATAACTAGCATGTGGCATCTTTTGCCATTTCCATGCCTCAGACAAACTTACTGGGAGTAAGGCTTTTGTTTTCAACTTGTCAGCTAAAGAGACAAGAGGTTAAAAACATTTATTTTAAGCTGATGATAAAAATAAAGCTTTTTTCTGTCTCGTCTCGCCGTGTTAGAGCTTCGACTTTACAGCAGCAGCTCATTGGAGAACGAGCTGCTGCGATTATACTGTCACTTTGACAACCCTTCTAAACCTTGTGGTTTTTTTCTACATTGAGCAAAAGAAAATTCATACACACATAATGATATGTTTAAACACTGACTTTAATCTGAAGTTGTTTAATCAGTACATTTGAAAAGAGGAATATGTTAAATAAAAAATGGAGCCTTGAGGAACCCCACACATGATCTTTATTTTGCCCCAACATGTAATCACAAAAATAACTCCAATCTGGAGAAATCTGAACTAATTTGAACAAAACCAGACAAACTTTTGCTACTTCTGTTTTCAGGGCTTGTGGAAAATTACCAGAGTGAAGAGAAGAATTACACATCTGGAATATTTCAGACACAAAACAGAAAAAGCTTAATGATTTTACAATGATTAACTGAATGTTTTCCAACTCCTGATGAACTGTGTAATTTGGTTAAGGAATATCTCTCAGGTTGTTCTTTTCTGGATAATGGAGATGTTAAATGTAGGTTTACCAGTTCGTTGGCTTGGTCTATGGTGAAAACGCTGCTGTTGAGGCGATCTTGAAGGTCTATCTGAACTTCAGCAAGCAACGAAATGAGCTGCTTGCATTCATTCTGCATGCGCGTGAAAGGAATCGCGATCTCGTCGTAGTACAGCTGCTCGGTCAGGACAGCCAGAAGCCGCGGCTGCACCATGGACGACACCATCTGGCAATCCTGAGAAGATTCAGACACAGTTTGAGGCTGCGGTCAAATCTAACTGGTTCCAGTCAATCGAGTCCAACCAATAAAGTTTATTTGTATAGCACATTTCAGCCACAAGGTGCTTTACATCATAAAAATATAAAGTTTAAGAACATGCACTCAACTGAAGGATTACATTTTGTCAATTGCCGTCATCAAAATGTTGATTAATGTTTTATTTATTATGGTTCAAAAGCAACTCTGAACAGGTGGGTTTTTAATCTAGATTTAAAGGAACTTGGTGTTTTGGCTGTTTTCAGCTTTCTGGAAGTTTGTTCACTGCAAAAACAATCTGACAGAGTATTTTAATAATAATAATAATATTAATAATAAAAATAATAGTAATTTCTTAATATTGATAGAAAAAGTATTTATTCCAATGGCAGATCATTTAATTTATAACAAGACATTTTTCACGTTAGACGTAAATTTATCTTCCAATGAAACAGGAACTTTTAAGGAACTATTTACTTAAAACAAGCCTCTGTTTATTGCTGAAAAGTTACTTCATTTGTCTTATTTAAAGTGTATCAAGACATTTGAACTAAAAACCAGACTAAAAATACTTGGTAAGACTTGGTGTTTTTAGCAGTGATCCAGATTTGTGGTGCATAGAAACTAAATGCTAAGGTTGTTACAACAGCAGCAGACCTTTAACCTGACCAGTGATTTATAAACTAACAGTATTTTAAAGTGTGTTCGGAGGAAGGACTTAAGAACTGGCATGATGTGCTCTATGTTACTGGTTTTAGTCAGAATGCCAGTAGCAGCGTTCTGAATCGGCTCTGAAATGCTGGACATTTACCTTCTGCTGTGCAGCCCACTCACAGAGAACCAGAGCCACGGCTATCCGTTGCAAGGCTGATTTGGAGTTGAGATGGAAGAGCAACAGCTGGCCCAAAGACTCGGCTGGCCGGATCTCCTGGGATGCGGAGTTGAGCTGAGGGTCACAGATGCACCTACACAGAGCTCCCAGCAACCTGACATAGAACAAATAAATAACTCTCAGAAGAAATAGTCAAAAGTCAATCTGACGATTCAAATAAAGCTTTTAAAACGTACCTGGCGGCCATAAGCCTGGCACGGACCACCACGTAATCCCTCGTCAACGGATCGTCTGCTACAGTCTCAGCCCCGGCTATGTACTGCTGGACCGTTTCCTTCACTTGATTGTTTCCTAGCCGAGCCTTTGCTCCAGTCTTATCCTGAAGTATGAATATATATACACAACTTTAAATAAAAAATACATCAGGAAGTGGACACAAATGTTGAGTCTGAACTTTCAGAAGCATACACTTATGATTTAAAAAAAGATCAGTATTTTCAAAGTTTACTGAATGTTCAAATTTACAATATTATGCAGTAATGAAATAAATAAACTTTTGAAGGAGGGGGTACAGTTATGATACCCTTTATAATTCATCAGTAAATCTTCAGTCTACTTTCAGATTCTTGATTAATGCAACATATTCTTTTATAGGTGAGAATAGTAGAAAGATTGAAGTTATGTTGAATTACTCCATATACACACAAAAACTAATTATAAATGAAAAAATAGATGTATACACACACACTTCAATGAACATTACAAAAATTGATGTTTTCAGACCAGCTGGAATAATTTTAACGCTTCTTTAAACCGGTAGCTCCTTGGTTTGAATACACAGACCACATTTCCTATTGAATTCAAGTAATTTGTTTGTCACCTAGCAACCACTGACGTTTATTGCTGCACCTTCAGGTCAAACATATTAACTTTAGCACCAATAAATAAATCAAACTGTGTCTCTCCCAAATATCCAATACAAGAAATTAATCATGTCTGCCCACAGCTATGTGTAGGAGATGGATGGAAGGAGAGCTGTGCAGATAAAAGAAAAACAGAAAAGCGCGTTACCTTGGAGCGGGCCTTCACCTCCAGCAGCATGTTCAGGTCTATGGGAATGTGAGAGGCTTGCATCATCAGGCAGAGCCAGGCGCCCATCCAAGGACAGCTGGCTGCGACCACGAACTGCTGGGGGACCTGAGACAGCAGCTCCATCCACACCTGCACAGAGGGGAAATATGGATACTTCCAGAACCAAACCTTTATGCTCCAAGATCAATTCTCAAATTCAAGTATCAGTACTTTCATTATTTAGTGCCGCGTTCACACCGAACGCGTTTCGCTTCAAGTAGGAAGCTTGTGCAGTTTGAAATCAATCTAGATGCGCTTTGGGGCGAGCCGTTGTTTTCTGTTTCCTGTCTTGTACAATGGCAGATGAAACTGAGAGTAGCACCAAAATATTAAGTAGTGATCAAAACAGAGTGGTCAGATGTCTTTGCTGAACATTTTGTGTTCAGTTTCTACTAACAAACAATGACGGCAATAACAGCACGACACGCGTTGGAGCTTCTTACCCTTTTCTCCTCTCCTGGTTAATTTGAACAACAGCAGATGAAATATTGAGATCATCTAGGTTTTATTAACTGAAATCAATAGAATGTTGTTGGGCGATTGTTTGAATTTACCAGATAATTCAGAGATGTTGTGAGGTTTACAGGTAAATTAAGAGTTTTTGCACAAAGTATTGGATGAGTATCGCCGATTCAATTTTGATCAGTTTGATCAGTTTTGGATTGCACATCATTGCACATGCTAAACAAATACGTTTCTTTTCTAAAAAGAACATCTTTAGATTTTACAACTGACCTTCTGAATGAGCTCCAGTATTTCGTCGTTGCTCTCCAGGATACAAGACTGGAAGATGTGCCGCAACATATCTTGTAAAATGGGATTTATCCAAACCGCACAACTCTGAAGGGAAAGAAAAAGAGAACAGAATGCAAAAATTAGCAATAACTTATCAAATCACTGTACTTTAACTCCAGTGTGCTGTCTTACATTTACATCTCTGGTTCTGATTAGGACAATATTCAGAATAATTAAGAAATTATTCTACCAATTAACTGATTAATTGGTAAAATAGTAGGTTAATTCGATAAAAAATATTTTTTTAAAGTTTGGGAATTTTTTTATTTAACCATGTAAGCTGTTCTTATACATTGACATACACAAGCAATTTATTAACATATTTCTTTAAAGAAATAAAAAATTTTATTGCCTAAAATGCAGCAACATATCATTAATTCAATGTGTGCTTAAGTCATTTGTAGCAAAGAAATCACCTGCAGCTAAACAAAAAAATAATATTTCAGTAGGTCTGGGTAGAAAATATTTACAGATGATTTTTTTAAAAATCTTAAATGCAAACGTTAAATATTTTCTTATAGTTTTGGCCTAATTACTGCTCTGGTATGTTTTCACTTTAGCAAATGGCTTTCTTTAGTCTTCATGTTCCAGTTAATGATTAATCAATTCATTACGATTAATCCAATTAATCATTTCAGTTCTGGTTCTGATAATTAGTGGATAAAGTTACCTCATCAGCTTTAGACAGCAGTGTGAAAAGCGTTTCCAGCGCAGCCCTTCTTACGGATGATATGGTGTGTCTTAAAAAAGGCCAAACTCGAGGAACCAGGACAGTCAGTGACTGCTCCATGCTGCAGCAAAAACAGAAAAAAATAAGACCATTTTAAATAAACTATGCAGGAAGGGATGAACTGCCATCACAAGCCAATATTCAGCTGTATTTGCGATGCCAATATGAGAACCTGACCTGCATTGCCGAACGTGAGGAAAGGTCAGCAGCAAAGACAGCAGCGTCATGATGCTGTTGGTGGAAGCGGTGAGGTCGTCCAGGTCCAGGAGTGCGTCCCATAGTGTGTTTACAATAAAAGGAACCTGCGCGACAGCAGCGTTGCATCAAAACCAGCAGAACAAACATCACAAAGATTAATGCTACCAATGCCTTCAGCTCAAGACCCCATTGGGACAAATGGCTGCAGGTGAAGTGCAGCTTTATTCAGACGACGCTCATTCTGAGCTAGGATGATGATGTCACTTTATGGCTCAGACGTGCTTCTCCATCACTGTTAGCCTTTCTACCATGAAGTAGGTCTTATTGATAAATTGTCTGGGATGAAAATGTCTTAAATGAGAAAAAAAGTTTATCTTTATTTTTTCCTAATCTGGATAAGAGGGATCTAGTTTGCTTGGAGGGACATCAGGACTGATCTGATCTCAAATTGGAGATATTGATTCAGCACGTTGGATTGTTTTGGTGGAAAGCAAAACATAAAGGGGAATATAAATCTCAGACGCCTGCCAAGGCAAACCAGAAAGTCCATCAGATGTCAGAGACTTCTTTTTGTTTTGTTTTCCTCTCAGTTAAAAATAGTCCAAAAGCCATTGCTTCTTCCTTGTCAGACATGTTTGTTTACTCTGAACCCATGTTTGATCCTGAGAGGTTTTATGAGATTTCCAGTCTGACATTTGAATATTGGCCCGGTGTTTTGTCTTTGCCGTGTGGCTCATCAATGCAAACTGTACGGTCAAACTTGTTATATATACGATTTGCTTTGAAAATCAACAACCTTAAAATCTTGCAATGTGAACGAGGCATTATGTTTACATTAAAGCTGAGTTTTTTTAACACTCCTATTCTTAAACAGGAACTTGTACCTGCGTCACTTTGACAATTTATTTCTTCATGTACTTTTACATTCGTGTCAAACTTCCTGCGACAACATCCCTATTTTTGGTCAAAAAGAGATCTTTGGACTTCCCGGCTAAATGTTAAATCTTGGTTTAGTTTTTTTGGTTGGGTCTATTTTTAGTGCAGATGTTTAATACATCTATCTGTTTTGGTAAAACCTCAAACATTCCTCACTTTTGGACAGAAAGCGTAAAAACCTGATTTTAGAGAATAAACCACAGACGCAACAGTTGTGCAAGAGCTGTTAATCGCTTTCAGGCATCACTACTGGAAAAGATTGTGCGCAGTGCAACAGAAATGGTGCAATTCTGCATTTGCAATTATAACCCAACAGCTCTAAATTAACTGCTTTACAGCTAAAAGGATGTCTGCTCAAATTTATAAGCATACCGAGCTAAATACAGAAGTTAGAGACTGAATATGTAAAATTGAAGGGCTTAAGATTTCATCACATCTGTAGTTTGCACCCAGGAATATGGTGTGAATATCTTTTCAATGCTCAGATGATTCCGAAATTTAGAAATCAATCAAATTTTTACACACTTGTAAAGAACAAGAGGATGCAGTCTGCAGAGGATGAGGTGATTTGTTTTTTTCTCTGCTTGCACAACAGCAGACAAGAGGACTACCTTGTTGGGCAGAAGCTGGACCAACCCTTCCACCACTGGGATGAGAGCAGCAGCAGCCACCGCCCTGACATCATCATCCAGGTCCTGCAGACCTTCGGTTATTGCAGGCAGGACCCGGGGAAGCAGGACGGAAATCAGGTCCTGTAAACACGAGATTTTAAAAATGTATGAAAACAGAATGTTCTAGTAGATTCACATGTTATGCACATGCAAAGGATTTACAGAAAATAAAAACAACTTTGGTACCTGTCGGACTGCCAAGGCATATTTGATCCCCAACAGGCCTCCATGCCGGACCTCCCATTGGTCCTCCTTCAGCAGCTTCAGCAGGACGTCCACCGTCATGGCAACGCTGTTTTCACTCATGTGAAGAAGAGCGACGCCGAGCGTCTGGGCACACGTCTCTCTGACAGGAGCCACCACCTGCCCAAACACACCAAAACAAACCAACATGACGCGCTGCATGTCAGCAGGTGTGCACTGCAAAAACACAACATCTTACCAAGACATGTCAATTTATTTTCTAGAGAAAATGAATTAATAAACCTGAAACAAGACATAAAAGCTCCATTTAAGTAAATAATTCCCTAATATTTATTTTAAAAAATTCATTTCTACTGACAGAATTTATAACAAGACATTAGATTTTTCTGTTATAAGTAGAAAAATCTACTGAAGGAACAAGTAGTTTGTTTTTTTGTCAATATTAAGGAATTATAAACTTAAAATGCAATCCTATATTTTGCTGAAAAATTACTGTTTCAAACGGACTAAAATATTTACGCTATGCCCGTCATAATAATAACTTTTGCTGGACAACAAATTGTCCCAGACGTTATTGTGACAAACAACAATATTTGATTTTAAGAACTGTAACGGTAACGGCAAAATGAAAATGCAAGAACACGTTTTCATTTATCCAATGAACATTTAACACTGGAACAGAAAGACATTTTAAATATCCCAAATAAACAAAATAACATAAATTGAATTATAAAGTCTCTGTACACAAAACTGTCCTTCCAAAAAGGCATCGATTAAATGTAATGAACCAGACTGAAGACTTTATCATCCGGTTTTTGGAAGAAAGAAAAAGAAAAGAGAAAAACAATAAATCATGCAAATGGTAATTATTGAGCTCGTTTTAGTTGCTCATGATCATAACAATGCGTCTCATTTGCACTATAAACTAGATCAAAACTAATGCTTATTGTTTTTGCAGAGCATAAATGCTGTACAAAACTTGAAAATATTACCTCATCAGATACAAAGTCCCCAAAGCGGTCCAAAGCAAACACACAGAGGAGACGAATGACCAGATCCTCGATCCACTCCTGATGCTGTCGCAACATCTGATAAAAACAAAAATCACTAATATTGTAACTATTTTCTGTTTGGGAGGGAGAAAATAAAAAAAAGCTTTGTGTTTGATTAAAACTCACCTGTTCTGCAGTGCTTCCAACCAGTTTCCCACCACCAGTACCATGAGACTTCAGGATTTCTCTGAGGCCGGTGCCCGCACCATGACGAACCTGACAACCACATAAAACGACTTCTTATTTTAAAGTCGCATTTAAAAAAGATTGAAGATTTAAAAATGTCCGCGGTGATAAAAAGGTTGGGCACCACTGAACTAAACTACTCTGACGAAAAACTTTACAATGCAGGTTTTGCATGAAGGTGAAAAACTTTGATTTTGCTCTCATCTGATGTTTTCATATTGCTTATACTCTCCAAAAGGTTACAGATAATTGGTTCTATTTCAATTGGAGTAAAGGAAACTAAATGTAAATGCACAAACAAATGAGAAAACCGCATCACTTTCCTTCCATTTGACCATTTTTACCAACATAACATATTGAAGTTCAGAAACTGTAACTTTCTAGATGTTAAAACTTTTTCAGGGGAATCGGAAAGCATCTCACCTCCCAGGATGGGTTGAAGAGGTCGTTACAAAGCTCTTCACAGAAGCTCTCCAACGGCCACTCGTGTGACTGAAAAGACAGTATTTAAACATCACATTTAAAGTAAAGAATTAGGATTCATAAACATGTTTATTTATAATTTCATACCTCCTCTAAAAGACCAGAGTTGTCTGGAACGTTGCCAATTAAAACCTTATGCTCTGTTGCAGGCTGGTCGATTACGACGTTGGTTGTTTTCCTCCGTTTCTCCTCAGGTTCACCTTCTAAGCTGTCATTGCTAACATTGAATAAAATAGTACAGACACTTAACACAAGCTCAACACAAGGATCAACAGAACAGAAGCATGAATGGGCGACTAACTCCACCTCTTCTCATTAGGATCCACGTCTCTGGATTTTTGTTTTGCCACGAGTTTAGCCAATCTTTTGGCTTTGTTCTTCTGACGGCTGCTCATGCCGGGCCGGAACTCCGAGTCGATCAATTCAGCAGCTTGAATAGTCTGAAGAAAAAACAAAACAAAAAAGTTTGGGATGTTAGAGTATAAGGAGGAAACGAACAAATGAATTCTTTGCCAATGATTTTATGGGTGATTTAATGTTTATGTTGCTCTACTAAAAAACAAAAAAATGCTGGAAATTATCAAGTTTAAAAGAGTTACAGAAGACACCTGCTTTTTTCTCTTAAATGTAACTCCAAATTGTTCACTGAAAACTTTTTATGGGTTTTTTGTAAAGAAAATCAAAAAGTATTTGAAAGAAAATGCAGCTGGAGAAGCTACTTGCCATACTATTGGCTGGCAGAGATGAGGAAAACTGTGGATTCATCTTCAAATGAGGAGCTAAGATGATTTCCACTGTGCACATTAATGCATATTATGGTCTATCTGATGTTTGAATTACTAAATTGGACACATTTAAGCGAGAGTTGTGGTCCCCAACTTCTGTGGACACAGGAGGTCTTTTATATTTTCATCATGTGTGACAAAATAAATAATGAGTAAATATAGAAACAGCTGGTAAAGATTAGCTTTGAAAATATGCAAATTAGCACCACATAACATTAGAAAAAATGCCTTGTGATGGCAAAAAGATTATATGCACTCAAAAAATATTTAAGAGTGAGTGTACTTCAAATAGGAAAAGTCTCCCACAAACTAGAGCTGCCACACAAAGAAATAATATATCTCAACCTTACGGAGCAGCTTGCAGTGAACATTTTGCAGACCATTTCCAGTGTCAGGTATTCCTGGTTTGCATATCAGCATATCATAGTTGGCTGGTTGGATGGAAACCAAATGCCCTCAATGCTCATGTAGAAGATATTGTGTAAAAAAAAAATATGAAGCTAAGTTTCTGGAGAAATTTGAGTCAATTATAATCATTACCGTTACTGCAATTTTCAGCGATGGTCTCACGACGGTTTTCAGCATCAGCATCTGGTTTACATTCAACGTCTATGTGGAGGCGCGGCACATTTTGAGGGTCTAGCGCTGTGTGATTTGAAGCGTTTCGAGCGTCAACAAATCAGAAACAATATGCTATGTGGCATAGCGGTGCCTTTTCCAACGGGATCTCAGAAAAACAAATAAACAAAAATAATCTATGGAGGATAAACTAATTGTCGCCATTTCCTCTCGTCATTCTATGTGAAAGTCCCAAATAGGTCAAATGATGTACATTTGACCCAAACACTGACCACGTGGTTGCGGGAGCTGCAGCCAGCTGCAGCTCTGAATCCTTGGGCTTTAAAGCCGCTGGGATGGCAGGAATAGTCCAGGTCCTCATCGTTGAACAGCTCGTCTGTGTCCATTCCTATAGCAGCTCCCATATCCAGACCCAGCTTCTTCTGGAGCAACTTCCTCTGACGAGCCAGACGCTCCTTAGGATCCATCTCACCTGGCAGATTTTAAAAGAAACAATGCGACTGTTGGTGTGTGAACAGCAGGTCATTCAGAAGAAACACCATGGATACAGTTAATGTCTACCTGAAGGTTTTCTATGGGAAATATGATCCAAAGGAAATGGCAGATGACTGAACAAAATTAAACTCTTCTCTCCTTTTTTACCTTTAAACTTTTCCCCCCAACTTTATCAGGTTTCAGAGCATCTTTATCATTATTATTATTCCATTTACTTAAAGTTTAAATTTAACATATTGACAAAAGCTTTGAAGGAAAATCAATAGTTTGAAGAATAAATATATAAATACACATTTAAACTAAGCCTGTCACAATATGCAATTAATCAATTAATCACAAGATAAAAATGTGCTTGATCATTCCCATTGTGATTATTAATATTCTTTGATTTTAATTTTGTTTAGAGACATCATAATTATTTTTATGGTTGCGGTTGACTGTTTTTATTTTTGGTGGTTGTGTTTTATTTCAAATATCTTGAAATATCTTCCAGTGTTGTGTGCAAAGTTTTAGAGACAGAAGAAGGTTAACTTGAATTTTTATGCCATTATCAATATATTGCTTGAAAATTATCAAAAAATTTAAATTTTATTGTTTATTGCAATCATTTCTGGAACAATTCATCATCTTACAAAATTAGTTATTGTGACAGGAACACAAAACTTTTTAGGCAAATATAAAAATGATCAATTGTTTTATTATAAATCATAGTCTTTGTATTATTGCAGCGCTGCTGAACCATAGCAAAGTTGTGATGCTCCACTTGACGATAAATCTGAGTTTCAAACAACTGAGTGACACCGTCAAACATAGTTGGCTGGTTGGATGGAAACCAAATGCCCTCATTAAAATGACGCATTAAAAAAATAAATGAAAAAAAAATGAAATGACCAGCAGACAAGAAGACCTAAAGTAAAATGTCCTGCATGAGATAAGGTCAGCTTTTCCTATTCAAATCACATTCAAATGCAGCAGAGTGGCCTGGTTGGCCACTGACGGATAATATGATCATTTTCTCTACAGAAGTGGCGTCACATTTCAGAAAACAAACCTTTAAAATTAAGATTAAAAAAGAAAAACTGAACAGGTGTGGTTTTAGGAAAGGAAAATCAAGTTTCATGTGTGGTTTCCAGAGTGACACCACACATGAAACTCTGAACAGTTACCAACATGTCTGTACAAACCAGTTTTGTCTTCCTGCAGCTCAAACTCGGCTCCTGCAGATCCGAGCAGCGATGCGCCATGCCTGAGCAGGCGGGAGATGTCAAAATGGTAAAAATTCAACCGGTCACAGGACGAGTCCTCCGGAGACAGGTCTTCACGGGACTCTGGAGGAAAGCAAAGAGTCCAGAAACCACTTCATTTTCTCCCCAACTGCTTCATAAACAGCTGGAAATGTTTAGATCAACGCTTTGGAAATGACAAATGGTTTGGCATCTTTGTTACAACTCATGTTGTGGAACTCATTTTCATTTTGAGCCAAATCAAAAATCTGAATGTTCTTAAAGGGCCGGTTGTACCAGAATGTATTGATGAAGCCACTAAACTGTTAAAATATCAATAAATCGCTGTTTGTTTCAGCATTCGCTAAGCGCTTTTATTAAATAATATAATTGAATATCTTTTCACACTGGTCAATCCATCTGGGATTTTGTGATTATTTTTGTGTTTTTTGCAATCAAAATCACAGATTTTGTGGTGCTGATTTATAAATATTTGTAAGGAATTTTTACAATATTTGCACTAATGAGTGATGTTCAATGCAACTTTTTATTCATTGCCGTATCAATCACGGACTATGACTTGAGTGAGGTTGAGGTTGCAGTTACTTGGACCCAATGTTTTAGCCAATTTTGAGAGAAATTTGCAGTAAAAAAAGAAAAAAAACAAAACAGTTAAAATTTTTGCAGATTTGTAAAAAAAACTGGAGGGACTTATTGATGTAATTTGGAGTCCAGACGGCCACCAATTAAATTTGTGTTCAACAAACTGGCTAAAGTGCTGCACCACCATTTTCCAACTACACCATTGGTTGCTGTGATGTATGCATTAACTTTGTGTATGAAAATCAAATAGTGTTATTCTGAATCATATGGCTGAATTCTTACCTTCCTTTGGCTTTGGAGCCGGGTTCCACTCAGGAATATTTTTCACAATGGCCTCCACGGCTTGGCCGGCTGCAATTCGAGTGTCCCAGCTGGGACTCCGTAGATAGGTAAGCACCTTGGGACGAGAATTTAAATTAATTTAGTACCAACATAAAGAGCATGTATGGTGTCTTACTAAGGTTTCTTACCACACATTTATTTATTTATTCATTTTTTAAATTTTTTCTTCTTCAAAAAATAACAGATTCAAATCTATTATGTTGAGATTTTAGCTTGTTAGCCAACATATTCACAACAATAGCAATAAGAAGCAGTTACTAAAGTGGTGTATAATTATGAAATGGAATCAAAATTACAAACTGGTCATTTAAAAAAAAAATAAAAAAGTGTGGCGTTTGTTTTCTGCCAGCTTTTATCCTGAGACCACAAAATAAAATTTTGTGCAACAAATTGCCTCTAGAAATGACCTAATCAGTAAGTGAGTGTAATTTAATCTCTGGATACATCCGGTTGTTCTTCAGCGACTTTAGTGGTTTGTTTGAGAACATTAGTGAACAAACAGCATCATCAAGACCGGTTAACACAGCAGACAGCTTAAGGCTAAAGCTGTGAAGCAGCTTAAAGCAGAATTAGGTTATAAAACAAAATATAACATTGAAAAGCTCACGCTATCACCTAAAGATGGACATACTGGACAAATAAAACCCTACCAAGACACATCCAGTGTGTGTTTTCTGTTTTGACAAACAGGAATGTGATATTTTTAAATTGCATATAAGCTAAAAATATTCATTTTGTAATTCTGCCTTCTTTTTTTTTGCCAGAAAGCCTTTAAAAATATGTTACAGAAAATGCTATTGAGTATTTTTCTTATTATCAAACATGGTTAAAATGCAGAAAATTGAGAAACTATTGCAAAATTTGAAATAATGATTACAGATGCACTAAATCCAAGTGGCCTGAGCTTTAGCTGTTGATGGGCAACAATTTTAAGGTCTACATCTGCAAACCTGACACTTTCTCCATTTTTATTTTTGTCTTTTCATTTTTTAGCAACATACTTTTTTGCCCCCCTTCCAATTCGACTATCCTCTCCTTTGTGTTGGTCTATTCCTAAAACTCTTAGTGCAGTTTGTGGTTGCAGCATGACAAAAATATGAAGTATGAGTAGGACTTGAGTCCAAGTCCTACTCATACTTTCACAGGGAACTGTAATTACATCAGCCAAAGAGAGATGATGGTAAAAACTCTAATCTTCTCAGGAGGATTGCACAATTTAGAAAAACACATTCTGTACTCATCAGATTACCAGTTTATCTACATATAAATTTGTTTTTAGAAACAATGTTAGAACAACAACAACAAAAATAGCAAATCCTCACCTTTGACAGGAGGTTGTTGAGTTCATGTGGGTGAAGTTTCACCACTTCTCCAAGTTGCTGGGCTGCTGCTTTCCTGGTTACTGGTGTGGTTCCAGTGTCAAGCAAGATAAACAAACGGTCAAGTCTAGGAGAAGTTAGCAAGATAAGAATCCAGATCAATAAACTGTTAAAGGCTGCAAACATGCATGATGCCATCAGCAAGTTTGTGGTCTCACTGATGCTTCCCTGGCGATTATCACTTCCTAAAACAGTTTTATTTTTCTGTTGCAGGTTAGCAAAATTAAGCTGTTATCCTTTTCTCATCCCATTTCTATTTGCTGCACAGTTTTGATGCAAGTAAATTGTGTTTACTTAAAATGAAGATGATTAGAATGCATTACATCAACCAAAAGTATATAGATATTAATGCTAGAGGAAAACTATAAAACAAATCAAAGGCCAGAAATATTTTGAAATCGCAAAGTTAAATTTAAGATATACAAATAAAATGAGAAACAAGTGATCCATGCTACAGTTTCCATTGAAACTGTATTTATTTCTTAACTCTGTTGTAAAATTAATTTAGTCTTTACTCTAAAAATTGAATGGAGGAAGACTTTTACATTTGAAGGCAGAAAATCCCCAAATTCTACAGTAATAAACATGAACTTTTAGCTGAATAAGACATTTATTGTAGCTCTAAACCAGCACATCAAGATCAATCTAAGGAAGGCTGATTTATGAAATACTCTACAGAAAGTATCTAATTTTAAGTAACAAGATGTATCAAAAGTTATAACACTTTTCTGATATAGGTTGACATGCTATGGTTTTGGAAATGCTAGCACACAAACTACTTCAAATGCACAGCAGCAACAAAGTAGATTTAAACAGGTCATAACAGCTTTAGTGCTCCACGGTGCACATATAGTTTCCTATTGGTAGGTACTTTTACTTCTGTCAAATGCAAAAGAAAACAATTGAAAAAAAAGAACTAAACAGAGAGATGAATACTTAAGCTAGAACAAGTTAGGCAACTGTAGCAAAAGGTCACCATTTAATGGGCTTAGATTAGTTTTTAATAGGTCGTATAACAACCCTTCGGTTACAAACGTGGGGATAAATTAATTAATGAGCGTGTGCTGCATTTGCAAATCCTATTAAATCACCCAACTTGACAATAACAGTTCATCTAATAATAAACAACATAAACCCAAGTCAGGATAGAAATCAAGTTCATATACGTTTGCCAGTAGTTGTGAACTTCAACAAAGTGATCAATTCGTTTGGAACCAAATTGAGGTAACAAGAGTCCCGGTTTGATCGGCCATCGCCACGCTATTCCGCTGCCAATTTAAAGCTAGCAAGCGTTAGCACACCAGCTAGCTAATTGTTAAGAAAACTCGGTCGAACAGCACAGAGGCGGTACAGAGACAACTTACCTTGATACAGCCATGATCATCTGTTACAGGAGCTTCAACTTCCCACATTCAGCATTGGTTGTATTCCTTCTTTTCTTTGAGGGTTCCAAAACGGTAGAGGATCGTGGGCGAAGTCATTAGCTAGTTAGCTGCTAGCTGCTAACTAAGGCCCTGCCGGGGCTGTGATCCTCAGCAGCCCAACGGTTCACGAAGACTCCGAGCTCTCACAACCATGTCTTCAAATCCGTCCCTGCAGTCCTTATACTATATTCTTCCACAAAATACAACCTAATGTCACCAAGATAAAGCTCAGTTTATCCTTCAGAACTCGTCGCGGATAAATATTTTAACCTAATAAGGATTAGAGAGTTATTTTGTTGCACACTGAGGGCGACCAAGAAGACTGTTTTTATATGAGGAGCCATCTTGCATTTATTCCTTCCTCCATGGCAGGCGAGGGCTGATTGGCTACAAGCGTTTGGGAGAGCCAATCAGAATGCGTGTTAAAAGAAGAAAAGAATATATGTCAAAAAGAGAAAGAAAACGCTTCATACTTTTTTCTTCTGTGGAGCACCGTGTACATTTCCTCTCTCCACGCATGCATTCACCACAAAACTGCGTCAGAAATTTTTGTGTATGAATAATTACAAATAGGCATCATTATATGATATAAAAATACTTTAAATTAACAATATTAATTAGAATTTTCTTTAAAAACAGGCTCTTTTAAAACATTTACTGAAATCCCAGTTTATTAAGACTTGAGCTGGCCATGGTCCTGAAATAATTTAAAACGATCAGCCATGTTTTTATATGTAGTTCATCTATTGGACAAGTGAGTTTTTCTTTGTGCTTTTCTATGTTTTTATTATTATTATTATTATTTTGATAAGTCGTCATAAATTCAAGGTAAAATCTAACCACCGGTGAATAAGCATTAGACTGCTTATACATCACACAAGGGGACTTTTGAAAAAGCCTTTTGTATTTCACATTTATTTAAAAATCAAATATACTTTATTATTCAAAGATGGAATTTAAAAGTTGCTGTAACTCATCTTATGTAATTTTCTTCTAAGAGTTGTTGTAGATGCTGACTGTGGTAAGAAGGGTATTCTGTAGCAGTCTGTATTACAGCACATTTAAGGAATCCTCTGACTGAAGATATTTTTTATGTATAAGAGTCAAATAGAGATAATGTCAATAACTTTTGCTATTTTCCAGATATTACATTGTAGTTCACATAACAGAACAATCTTTTTTTATGTCTTTGGAGCATCTATATATTTATATTTTTAATAGTTTTTACAAATTAATTTGTTTTTCATGTTAAGTAACTATTGTTTTTCTTCTTCTGCTTTGCATTTTTTAGCAAAACTAATTAAATAAATAGAGTGATGAAGAAACATGTATCTATATTCAGTGAACAGAAGCTGCACTTTTTGGTTTTATACAATTGAATGACTTACATTGATGTTTTAGTGTCTAATATTAGAATAATTTATAATTATTTAAAAATATACCTATTGTTTTCCATGAATCTGTCATATGATTATGATATTTTTCATCAGCTGAACATGTAGATAGCATTTACAGTTTCTTTTGCAGCAAAACTATTTTTAGCCGCCTTTTACAATTCTGTCAATTTCTCTCCCAAAGGGAACACTTTGAACGTTTTTTCTCTTCATGATGTGTTTTCAGATTGTTTCCATGTCAACCAGGCTTTTCTTGGTTTCAGTCCTTTTAGCTGCAGTTTTGGATCTGCAAATCCTCCAAAGTATTAAGATTCACTTGAGGAATATTCAGTCCAACAGAACAGATCTGAAAGGATTTTATCACATTACGAACATCCTGTCTTTATTTGTCATTTTTGCTTATGAAACGTTGTTATGCAATCTCTAAAATAAGCTCAGGGCAGGGTAGTTTGGATTAAAACAGAATGTGTCCACACATGTAAATGTCAGAAAATTATATTCAATTTAATCTACTCTAAATGTATTCTTTTTTTGTATTTTTGATTTGTTATTAAACTTTTTATGACACTCTTTAAACACCAGAGTCTCAAACAGATTTGTGTTTTTTCATTCTGCATTGTCTCTTCAGTCTTATTTATTTTAATGTATTGCAGCTTATTTTATGTAAGACCAATTTATAATGAGTCTTTTTTGCTATGTTGTCAGATATTCTACTTAAATGTTTCTGAAAATACTGAAATTAAAGGAAAAAGAAAAACAACGTGTATTTGAGGTAATTTTGTAATTTAACATGACAGGAAACCATAGTTTGGGTTTTGATTGCTTTATTCCCCTTGATAAAATGAGTGATTCCTAGAAAGTTACTTGTTGTTATTTACATTTTTGTCTGATATTTATCAGAAACCTTTCTGTTTATTGTGTTGAGATTAAATCAGGAAAACCAAAGAGAATTATTACATTAATTTTCATATAGTTATTGTTGTTCTGATAATTTTTTTTGTTCATATTTGACCTAAAAGTTTTTTTTCCTCAACATTCATGCCACTGTGCCCTGCTGTTTTGTGGGTTCAGAGTTGAAACCAGAAAAATATTTTCTGGGTTTTATTTTCTGCTGATAATGAAAGAGACAACCATGCAGGACTCGTGTTATTATAGATTTAGTTAAAAAAGCTCTGGTTGTTTCCGTTCACGCAGAGAACCAGATGGGTGAGTGGGCTGCCGGGTTTTTCCATACAGAACAGCGAGGCAGAAATAAAAAATTTAAAGGAAGTCACTGACTGTCATTTTTTTTACTTCCTCACTCCTGAATCTTCTCTGGCAATTATCTAGTGATTGCAGTATATTTATATTTCAGGTCAAAGGTTAACATTTTAATACATTTTTGCAGGACCTAAACCTAATTGTTTCACAACATTGAAAAATAAGAACTATTTCTCCTCTGTTTTTAATCTTTACAGGGTTTCTGTAGGATTTAAATCTGGAAACTCAAAAAAAGGATGTTTTGTCGTTCCTGGACATATTCTTGGTTAATTTTCCTACTAATAGAACAAAAATTGACCCATTTTCTGTTTTTCCATAGATACCACCTGACTTTCATTCAAAATGTCATCGCATTTTAACTTTACCGACTTGTTTTTGTTCTGACTGGAAAACAAATCAACGATTTGGAGCAGGCCAGGCAGAGTCCTAACCTGAACCCGACAGAGAATCAATGGAGGAAGATAAAGATGAGGCAAGTCGGCCTTCTAACTTCAGACACTGCAAAAACAAAAACTCTCACCAAGTATTTTTGGTCCAGTTTCTAGCGCAAATATCTCACCACACTTTAAATAAAACAAAACTAACTTACAAGTAACTTTTTTAGTAAGATATAGAGGCTAGCAACGCCAGTCAAGCCCAGCCCATCACTTCATTATTTACATATCTACTGACCAGCAGTCAGAGATGGGCAGAAACTAGCTGCATCTAGTCAATTACATTTACTTGAGTTACTTTTTTCTTGAAGAAAAAAAAAAAACTTTTAGGAGTTTTTTTGTTTTTTCCTGCACTGTACTTTTTGTTTTTACTTGAGTAATTTAATTATGAAGTATTTATACTCTTACTTGAGAATAATTTCTGAATTTTCTACCCACTGAGTCAAAAACAAACATGTTTCAACCTGAAATTCACCTGACACAGACACACACCTGCAGTTTTGGTTAAAGTTTCATAAGGTTTTTTTTTATTGAAATTAACTAATTTGGAACCATTTTCTTTTGCCTGATTTTGTTATTTTTTTATTACTTATATGAATTATTGTCATTTTGGTTCTTAAAATGCCAAAATTTCCATTTTTTAAAATATGAAATGATTGATATTTTGATCAGTTACTCTGTACTTCAGCAGACTTTTTACTAAATACTTTTATTTGAGTGATTTCTTAGACCTTCTTACTTTGCACTTAATTAATATAGTAAATCTGCTTTTCTCTGTACAGAAAACTTCATCTCATTTTTACAAGCAGGAATCAGGAATCCATTAGAGGTTTTTACTCACCACATTGTTTTATTGACAGGAACTCATTTCAGTTCAGTCCCCTATGAGATTTTCATTCGGAAACAATCAGTCTATTCAAAAACAAACTGACTAAGAGTTTAAAAAAAATGACAGTGTGTGCTTCACGCCTCAACAAAGAAAAACATATTCAGTGTTTGTTTTAGCTGAACTTTAAATGATCGGTCTGTTTTTACGTCTTTTGGGTCAAAGTTTGTTTTGAGGAGTTTCAAAGAAATATATTTTTCTCAGCAAAATCTGCAGAATGAGCAAGAAGATTGATGTTTGAGGGGTTTTTTTATTTCTCATTCTTAGGTCTGAGGTGGCAAGGAAGATTTCTTAGCACACAATAAACAAGACAAATGCTGCCCTCTGCTGGCTGTCAGGAGTCACTTCACCTCACATGCAAAACCTGCAGAAGTTTTCGCATTTATTTGCACATTTGTTACGTTACAGGGGCGCCGCCAGGAATCTTGGGCCCCAATTTCAAAAACTTAAATTGGGCCCTCCAACGCAGCTGCTGTTACAATTTTTTGAGTCTATCTGATCACCAAGAGTCACATTTTTAAAGGCTTGAAACTGCCTTACTTCCTTTGGTGCAATACTGATAACCAGCACAATATTTAGTGCTTGTGAATTTTACATCCAACAGTTGCTTATATTAGGTTGCTTATATATTTTTTATTAGTTTTAGATTACTTAAATGTCCCTCCCCACAAACAACAGTCAAAAACAACATGCAAAATACACATTAAGCAATCCAGACTTATAAAAAAAAATGCTGTTGTTGCATTTTATTCAAGCTGCAGTATATAACTTTAATAAAAAAATGTTTCCTCCATATTTATTAAAGCTGTCACCGTGCTGTGAAAGTTTGGTGTGAGACAGATAACCTGTGAAAACAATCAATCTCCTCCACCTGGTCCCTGAATTACTATTACTAGCTAAAGTAATGCAACATTCCAGCCAAAACAACCAATCAGAACAAGGAGGAGGGTCTTAGCGCTGTCAATCAACTCATTCACTCACTGCTAAATGGTTGATAATCTCACAGTCTACTCACCTCTGGAAATGTTAGGTGGCGGGAAAATAAAGCATGTTTGTTTTTTTTTGTTTTTTCTCATGTTTGTTACATATAACTGTAACATGCAAATAATAAAAAAAATATATATATTGTTTTGAAAAACAAGGACATCTGCTAGAAAAAAAAAGTCAAATCTTTAGATTAATATCAGATTTTTTTTCACAAAAAGAACTTGGATCTTTTCATTTTATTTCAAATGTCTGAAATTTCCTACAATGGTCCAAATACACCGTTGTAAAAATAAACACTTTCAAGTTTTGGATCTACAAAAAACATCGATCTACTTTATTTGCTAGATTTTAGTTTTTTATTTTTGGAAATAAAG